TATATTTTATTTCTTTATTGTACCCTTGATTATCTATTACAAAATTACTAAATTACCTAAAAACCTAAAAATGGGACCATTATTACCATCGATACAGCCATTAGATTTGATATACATAAAACTATCTTTCTTTTCGAAGATACTTATTTTACTATTCAATTACTGTTTTTTCCTGGCTGATAAATACTACATTATTTATTTAAAGGCATTTTTAGTTGATATATTTTATATTTTTTTAATAATATAGAAAATCCTATTATTGAGATTTTATTTTCAATATGTTTGGTAATATTCAGGGTTTAGAAATTTATCCTTGAGATGTAAATTTTACAACTATTTTGGTCTATCATATTAAATGATAAAATATTGTATTCGACAAAGAAAAACACAAGTAATTCCTTCCTTTCTTCACTATATAACATATTTTGGGAATTATTCACACGGGACATTTTTATTTGTATTGTTAGTTATTTTTATTATTATTACACATTTTTCAAGAAACATGATTTGTCATTTGAGAATAAAAACTATAGGAGATTTTCAAGCTTAGCCTTGTAAATGGAAACAAAGCATGCAGGTCTTAAACCAGTTAAAAAAAAAATTAACCTCATATAACTATAGCAAGAGATTATGAACTCATATCACTTTTGTTGGACAAAGAAAATTTATAAAAAAAAAAAAAAACTATTAGAACTAAAATTTCTTTAAAGAGTAATTTTGTAGAATGAAGCACTCCAAGAAATTTCATTCCAAAATGGATCCCTCATCAGCTGTTAGAGAATTCAAAATTAGGAATTCCCTTTTCTAAAGCTGAAAGCGCGCTTAACTTCCCTCCACTAATTCTCTGAAGAGAGACTTGAAGTAATTTTGTAACTTGCGAAAGAAAAGTCGATCTTATGGTACGACAGCATCAATAAGAGTATAGCAATCATTTAGACTAACCGATCGATAAACGTATTCAGTTGAAATGTTTAGGACAAAACTCCAGACGAAGTTGCCAGGATAATTCATTCATGCTAATGCCCGAAGTTGCCAGCGACTCACGATACGGAAGAAGCGCACCCTGGTGGAAGGAAGTGGCGAATACATCATCATCTTTATCAAAATACAGGAAGTGAAAATAGAATCGAGGACTTAGAAGGCGAAGGGGCCCGTTTACACGCCGCAATAATTCAACCTGACACATCGCATTATCCGCTGCATTACTAAACCAACGCCTTCCACATATATCATCTTGGCAGGCTAAGCGACTGACACTAATATTGCTATAGTATTTATTTTAATTATACGAGACAATATATAATAAGACCATTTTTATACGTTTTAACATATGTAGGGGTAGGGGCGATATCAGAATTAATCGCAATCCTTCTTCAATACTATAAGAATCTAATATTAGAACCAAAAAATATTATATATATATATATATATATATATATATATATATATATATATATATATATATATATATATATATATATGTATGTTCGAACGTCAAATAAATTATGTATAATTTGACTATTTGTGAATATATTATTACAAACATTTAAAATAAAAAAATCTGGTGGGTTCATTCGCACGACTTTCCTACCTATTTCAGAAAAGTTTTTATATCTTTACATATGTCTTTATTTCCTAGGTACGTTCCTCTACCAAATCATCAACAGCCATCGTCCTTCTTACGCCTACAACCTTCTCCAGTTCAAATTCTCAGTCCATTCCCTGTCCACAAGATCTCGACCTTCTAATCTTTACATGCCTTCTCACAGATCTGCCTCATTCCAAAATTCCTTTGTTGTTCGCTCAGTCAATTTCTGGAATTCCCTCCCTATCAAAATTCGACATTCCCCATCCATACCAAATTCAAAACCCTCCTATTCCAATTCCTATCCCAAAACAGTCAGATAGTTGCTAACCATTCGAGCTGATTTTAATAGAGAATTTGATACTACAAATTCATTGATACATTTTTATTTTTTAATTCTTTATTATTTTCTTAAAAGTGTATAGCTATAGTGCAAATAGCTTTAAGTGCCTTGTCATAGTATTAATTGTTTTGTATATAGTTTCGTTTTTTTTTATATAGAATGTTTACCTTATATTTTTTTTACATTATTTCTTTTTTTCGATTGATTTTATTTCGGCCAGATGTGATCTTTTAATTTTGTTCTATTTTGTTATTCTCAAGGGACTGTGTCCCAGAATAAAATTATTTTTCTATCTATCTATTCTATCTATCTATGTCCATCAAGAAACAATAACAAATTGAATTAGATTTATTTTCCTGAAAATTGGTCAAACATATGATTTGAGTACGATTTATTTGATAAACTAAAGCAAGGTAAACCGGTTCCAGGCAGATCAGTGTAAAAATTTCAATACCCTCTAATATTGCTGATCAAAAACTTTTTGCCAAAGCCTAATTTTGTCAAACAATAATTTCTGTTAAAAGTAGAGGAAATAGTGAAGCTTGTGTGATGCGGGCAACAGATTTTCTTACTTTCACTAAGTTATCTTTTTTCTCTCATGTACATTGGAAATTGAATAGCTGTAACTTCGTTAATAGTTGTCCAAAATGAACGATTTTTATATAGTTTTGTAGGGAATTTCATTACCTTTCAAAAGTTTCATTATAAATTTTACAATAGAATATGTACTTAGCGAGTTAGTCTCGAAAACATTTTTCTTTTCTTTGTAACTTTTTTTTCTGATTTTTTTTCGCGAATTTAGTATATGTACAAAAACTGAAAAGAAAATTATTAAAATATTATAGGAAAGTTTCTTCAAAATCGTTAGATTCGTATTCGTGCTACAGTTTATAGAAAAACATGTTTTTCATTTATTGGGCATGGACAATTCAATTTGTGTCACAGGCATCAGTATTCAAAACACACACAAAAAAAAAGTACCACTACAGCCCATGAAGGGTCTTGGGTGCAGTGTGTGAGGAAGTACTGTTACAAGGCCAATGGTTGTGCAAGGAGGTGATGGGGCTGATATCACGCTCAACCGCCAGGTTTTCCCCCTTAATTATTTTTTAAATTAAGGTACCCACTTTGTTGAGGCTGGATGTATCCCAAGAGGATCTCCTACCCAAGAGTCGCCCCACGACCCATCAAACAGAACAAATAATTTTTCAGCCATAAGCCGGGATTCGAACCTGGGACCTTGGGAATTGGAAACTTAGTGCCCTACCACTGAGCTACCCCGCTCCCTACAATGAGCCATGTCTTTTCAAATCTGTATGATACAACGTATGTAGTCTCACCGGTCGAAATTTAACAGATTTTTAGTCAACATGAGAACTTAAATAATAAGGCTTCAAGGCTAATGAAAAATTACTAGTCATTAGCCGGATTGGAACCTAGGACTTTGAGCTCTGGAAGTCAGTCCTCACCCACTTAGCTACCCCGGTCCAGTTAAACTGTACAAAATGAATAGAGAAGTAACAAAATCAGTCTACTAGATTCCGGAAAAAATCTTGGCACAGACAGACATACCAATGGATAAAAATGTGTTTTTCGGACTCAGAGGGCTCTAAAACTTATAGATCCGTCGAAAACCGCATGTCGGAAATATGACCCGATCGCAATACTTTCCTTACCTTGTAGAGGTAGGAAAGTACAAAGTATATATGTATTTTAATTTTTTGTTAGTCATAGAGTTTTACCAATTTAAGGTTTGCTCATTAATGTAAATTCATTTGTTGTTGATAATGTTACAATTATAAATAATATTATTGTTTAAATTGTGTTAGAATTTGAATAATTTAATTATGGAAAATATGTACATATTATGATCATTGACGTTTTGTTGGAATGTATATTTCTATTGTTTGCTGGGGGTGCGCTTGGTGGCCCAGTGGCTTGATACACGTACAGGAGGATGGTACTGAGGATGTCGGTGTGGTTCTGGTTTGGACTATCGAAGCTCTGTAAGAAGAAATTAGAAATTGTTAGTTACGGCATATAGGAACTTGAGTTTTTGTGCCAATGGCTATCTTTTTTCCAGCTCTGAAAATGATGAATCCCCATTCTATGTACAAGAAAAAAAAGAATCGAAACGTTAACAAATAAATGGAATAAACTCTAAATTTATGTAGTTTATTAAAATGGTAAACGATCTAACTCCCGAAAATAATAAATTAATTAATCAATAATTTTAATTAAGGGTACCCACTTTGTAGAGGCTGGGTGTGTCCTAGGAGGGTCTATCTATCAAGGATCGCCCCACGGCCAATGAAACAGAATAAATAATTTTTCTGCTATGAGCCGGGGATTCGAACCTGGTTGGTACCTTTAGCATTGGAAGCTCAGTACCCTATCACTGAGCTACCTAGCTCCCCCCATATGTATATATATATATATATATATAATATATATATATATATATATATATATATATATATATATATATTTAGAGAGAGAGAGAGGGAGAGAAAGGCTCCAATCGTTTACATTTATTGTATTTACTTTCCTAAGACATGAAATAATAGTCAGTTACCCCATACTCGTGGATTTCAAGTAGAATATTCGAATTAAGTATTCAAAAAGTACATTTTTTTATCAGTGAAACCATGCGTTCTAGCGACAATAATGTTTAAAATAAAATTAAAGTTGACAACATTTGTAACAGAAATGGTTATATTCATTTCTTTGCTATCTTCTATAGTTACCATGATATCTTTCCTCGTAATTCACCATCTTTGAAAAAATATTGTTTTTGCCTAGGATTTTTATAACTATTTCACTTATCTTCAACCATTAACTTCAAGCTAGAGCAATTGTAACTTTACGTTCCGTAAAAACTCCGATACTACTCAGAAAAACTTGCTTGTCATAATTTTCGTTATTACACAGCTATGAACCATTATATAAGGCAACATATAACGTATAAATACATATATTATATTATATTATACTATGTACAGATTATACTTCTATAATAGTAACTTGTAGATATGCAATCGTGTCTTTTAGATGCCTTTCTCGTAACATGAGATGAGAAAGATCTTGTTAACAGTACGGTCGTTAACTCGCTGCCACCCCCTTCATTCAATTGACAATATCCACAGAGGAGCAGCTGAGGGAAGGATCTCAAGATTGCATCTCGAGGAAACAGAGCTAGGTCCTGGCTGGCAATATTAAAGGCGGTTTCAGTCCTCCGGGTCTTATTGTCTCGTGTAAATTACTCTTCCTTACTTCTCTAATTAGTCTTTATTATCCTGCTCCCTCTCCCCCCCCCTCCGGGCTCATCCTTCCCCCTCCCTTCTTCTCCGCTATCTACTGTGAATTCTCCTTCACGTCCTTTCTGATATTACAACAAGAAGCTACTGTTTAATATTCTCCGGAGCGTCCTCCATTTTTAACTCGTTCCTCCGTTGATTGCGTTTTCATTGCTGTGGTTACATTGTATAGTCTGAAACGCTCAGATTTAATCTCAAGAATAAAGTTTTATTTTCCTTTAACTGTTTAAAATTAGTAATGTCTTGTATCCAAGAGGCAGTCACTACCATGGATTACGAAATTAGCTACTTGATAATGATCTATACTTTTCGTTCATTCTCGAGACTAGCGACGCCGCACATGGGGGCGAACTAACGGTTCTGTTGGACATTAGGAGCAAAAACAAAAATTTTGAAGTTTGACATCATTATTGACAAACTAATATAGTTTCCTCATGCCCAGCAATACATAACCTAATTATCGCATTAATAATGTGATAGATAATACCAGAAAGAATAAAAACTACCGTTTATATATCAAGAGCTTGGTATTTATTGTATTTTTCATCAAACTAAACGGTACGTGTTGGGTACAATTAGGTACTTCTAGTGTATCCTAAGAGAGCTGATCGCCCGTAAAACGAAGGTTTGAACTTCAAAAAATAGTTTCTAGACCTTGCTATAACTTTATTTGCGACAAAGTAGAAAACACTGAGGGTTTTGGATTGTAACGGTTGGAAATACGAAAGGAACTTGATAGGTAACAATTTTAAAAACGATTCTGTTTTTTAACAGTTCCTACATTTACAGTAAACAGTTTCGGCCAAAAATCTATTTACTGCCTTAATTTTTTCCCAAAACTCTTACATTTTACAGTTTTGGGATAAAAAAACTTCATAACACGTAGGGGAAAATGTATAGGCAAAAGAGGAAATATATTTTTTAAATAAATGTTTTGTTTTCATAAAGGTGTTTCACTATAAAAAACAAACCTTCCTGTGAAAACTGGCATATTTTATAATTTCAAGCGTTGCTGTTTTAAGATTTTTATTTTGAACGATCAAGGTCCAGCTAAATGTTTTTAATCCGATAAGAGTACCGGGAATTATTTTCCCATCAAAATATTATTCATGTAAATGTGTATAATAACAATAAAAAAAAAACATGTGATCATAATTGATAATGAAAATACGGCGCAATAACACTGTTAATTAAAACATTTAAAAATGGTATATAAAATAATAAAAGAGTATTTCAAAATATTGCTTTCAATTAGAGAGAAAAAATCCTTTATCGAGAGAGCTACGGGATTTTTCTAAAACGTTTTTTCATTTGGCGGAGTGGGCACAGTTCCAACGGATTAATTCCTCTTTTATGAAATTCCCCAGAAGCTTCAGGATTCCTACTCCACTCTTTTAAATTGCTGAAAACGACAGATAACTTTAATCAGAAATGATAACGTTTACTTGATATTAAGTTTTAAACTGAACGACAAATCCGGCTATTCTAAATATATTAAAAGATTGGAAAAGGGAGATTACATTTCCACGGAAAAATAATATTAGGATCATTCTTATATCATTTGACCATTTCATGTCCGCAAAATTGGCATTCATTTTTTTTTAGATTGAAAGAAAAAACGCTGAAAATTATTTCACAATAGTTAATTATTTCCAAACAATTATACATCTAAAGTAACATTACCTTCCTAGTGACAAACATAAATAAATAAAAGGTGATTCCAATTATAGGCATCAACATTTTTTTTTTCACCATTAGTAATTAGCTAAAAAAAAATAGCATTACTTAGGTAACACATTAAAAAATCATAAACCAAAACAACGGATATAACCTTTTCAGGAGAACATATAAAAATATCATGAGACCATATCTTTGCAGCTAATTGTCCGATTTGACCGATTTTTTTTTGGGGGGGAGGGGAGTGGAATTTCGTATAAACTTTTAAACAATGTTAATTTATTCTACTTTCTTCACAACCCGAATTTCGGAACAGATAATTGCATATGCACTTTTTCTTAAAGGTTGAGTAGCGACTTGATTTCATGTAAAAAATGTTTTTATGATGGAGTGGTCTAAAGAACACACCATAGATTTTGTTGTTAATATAGTATTAACAACGATTTCATAATAGTATTAACAATCATTTAACGCCCTTGCAATGAGTCTCCGATACGTCATGAAGAAGCCAGATGCAAATGTGGTTGTGGTATCGGATTCCCTAAGTACTCTGAAAGCCACGAATAACAAGTACCCACTCCATCCAGGAATACACTGCATTCTAAATCTAATAACAATACTTCATGGAGTTGGAACAACATCACATTTTATATGGTCACTGGCCATATAGGAATTAAAGGAAACGAAATGGCTGAAAGAGCAGCAAAAGAAGCACTTACTCTTCCAGGCAAAGCTTTTTTGGCACCATCTGAACTTGCACGACCTCGAAGAGAAACCATGTCCCGAGAATGGCGAAGACGATGGGACAACAGCGTACCTAGCAAATTAAAGACAATAAAGAAAGAGGTGCAACCGTGGACCAGCTCCAGACGCAGCAGTCGTAGAGAAGAGGTTGTCCTCACGCGGCTGAGGATCGGACATACTAGACTGACACACCTCTACATAATAACAAAAGATCTTATCCCCAGATGTCAAAAGTGTTACCAGTCATTAACTATAAAACATGTTTTGCAACACTGCCCCTTTTAACACCGCAAGGTTAAAAGATCTCGGAATACCCCAGAATATATCAGCATCCATGGGAAATCAAAAAGAAATCGTCACTTAAGTTATGAAGCTGCTAGACAATGAAAGGCTTATAAAACATATATGACAAGTTTATTTTTTTATGTATAGCCCCCTTTTAAGTACAAATCCCTTTTTATCGAATCATTAACATCCGCCTGAAACTTCGTATATAGTTTCATCTCATCGCAACCTACAACTATTTTATTTAAGAAAACTTTTGCAATTGGGACATTTTCAATCTAGTGGGGGGCAAACTTGAGTCTATTTAATTAGGTATTAAAATTTTGTAAATAATCATTTGCTTTCTACTTGGATCATAAAATAATTTGATCACAACATCGAAAAAAAAGGAGGTATACAAAAATATTGAACAGTTTGTCCAACCTCGTTGTTATGAAAATTTGGGGGTGTAGGTCAAGCCAAACGGCTCAATATTTTTGAAGGCCACCATTTTTTTCAATTTTGTGATCAAATTATGTTACGGTCGAAGTAGAAAGCAAATGAGTATTTACGAGCTTTTAGTATCTAATTAAATAGACTAAGTTTGTCCCATTCCAGATTGAAAACGCCCCAATTCCAAGCGTTTTCGTAAACAAAATAGTTGTAGGTTACTATGAGATGAAACTATTTACGAAGTTTCAGGCGGATGTTAATAATTAAAAAAAAAGAAAGGAGTCTGTACCACGGACTAAATGTTCCTTAGCAGATTTTTTTTTTTTTGTTTAAATTTGAAAGTTCATTTATTTATTTATTTTAATTCGTTTATTAATTTAATTGTTAAATTTTTTAAGTTTATTTATTTATCTATTATATCTTATAATGTGTAAGTGTTTATTATTATCTTTATTTTATTCTATTTTTTTTTTTTTTTACTAACAACTTAAACAGTATAAAAGTAGTGTTATTTAATTGATCGGTCGCTGATGACCTGGATGTTTTGCGCATAGACATCGAAACAAACAAACAGCCATTTCTAGCCATAAAATTTCTTTGGGACGGCAAGGGATGAGGACAAAGGATCTGGCCGGGAAAGGATGCAGGACTCGCTATAGAGAGATAGTGTCCTGCGGGGAGGAACGGGGGGGGGGAGGGAGGAGGAAGGAAAGGTGGAGCAATTGGAGCAATTACTGTGGAGTGTGCACTCAAGAGGATCACCTTTCCAGTAGTGGGCTTCAGAGGACTGCAGACTCGAGAACAGCAGACAGTGGGGCAACACTGTACCGTAAGGCGGTATATCTACTAGGATATATCACCAACTGTCCCCAGCTATCAATAACAGATATTTAAATTCCATCCATAACAAATAATCAAATAATGATAAATATTAAGGATTAAGTGACCGAACTGAAAATATGAATTAAGGACCTCAGAACAAGAAAAAAAAAATCTGGCGGGCGCAACACACATCTTTCACTTACCGCTCTACTTTGAATAGAAATTATTTTCTGGCAATGCTAGGCTATTATAAAAATTATTCGAAGTGCATTTTAAACGGAGCTAAAGCTTAGGCCGTAGTTACACTGAATACGTCACGACACGATACGACGGCTCTACTGTTCAACTCAAAAACATATGATTTTCATTCATGTTTTAATGTTTATTATCAATTTAATTGTTTTATATTCATCCAATATACATAAAAAATAATTACTAATTCCTTTAAGATTATTTAATAATTAATAAGCATTAATTACGGTATTATTTATTCCATAAATAATCCAAAAGTAATTCAAAATAGAGTAGAAAATTACAACAATAGCTATTTTCATTTTATTTTTAACAATAAATAATTATTATTGTCATTTAAAGAATACACTTGCATTATAGAGAAACATAAGCTGTGGCTTTAAATGGTCATTAGCAAGAAAAATATGAAAATAACTTTTAAAAAAATATCATAAAACATTGTTAATTTTATTTATTATATATGTTAAATTTAAAAAATAAAGATAAAATATATTTTTTTATCTAGCTCATTATCAGCTTTATTATATAATATTATAAAATATTATTTGGATCGTATTTATTACTTTAAGTTATATGTAATTCACATTCAACAAATTAAAAATCTCATTCCAACAAAAATTATCTTATTTTAAATACAATATATATTGTATATTTTAATCCGTAATAATTAAATGTTGTTTAAAAATACCGAAATAACGCCAGATTAGTTAAAAAGGTTAATTCACATTCTGTTTCTTCAGTCCCTATCAGTCATAAATAAAATTATTCAAAACATTCTGTAAAAATATTTGTTTTTTTCTATTCATTAATTTCATTTTTCCAGGATCCATATTGATATTATTTAAATTAAATATAGCAAATAATTTTGGAAGGATTGGTTAAATCCACACCTCTTGTTTATCAAAGGTTTTATTTTCGTTTAATTAACTATGGTTTCAAAGTTATAATGGTCTTTAAGTTATCATTTATTTTTTTTGCAATTTATTTCAGCAATTATAGTCATACATTATAATTCATACGTAATATTGTAAATATCTTATTAAATTATTAATTTTAATCCATAATTATTGCATCAATATTTAAATAAAAAAAAAAGATTAGTTAACTTAGTTAGTTAACAAATAAATTAACATATTAATTCACTAATTTATTTTTAATTTTTTCAATTCCATTCAGTAAAAAAAAAATTTTATTTACGTGGCCAGTGTAACCACGGCCATACAAATAACAAGTCATTATGACCATTATAATTACAAAATGTCTATTTAATATATCGACAACAGGCAATAAAAATCTAGTCACTCCATCTGCTTTTATAAACCACGCAACTTTCTTTGCTTTTATAAACCACAGAATGACTAACTCTAATTTCAACATTTTTGAGTGATGTCATTTTAGTGATATTTTTAGTTGAAAAAGTTATCTATGCAGACAGTGAGTAAGTTGATTCCAGAAGTGGTGGATTGCAGTGTTGAAATATAGAACTGAGAATAAAGGTATAAATTTAGGTACTTATTTCTTATAAAAGATACTTTATTAAATATCTGTAGAAAAAAGTTTTTTTTTTATTCTCAACAATTAAAGAAGTATATTTTAAATTTATCAACAAAATTTTCGCCTATTCGGGGAAAAAAAACTAGTGGCCTAACTTCCCTCCTAATTGTCCAATTTTAACGATTTTTTAATATTTTTTTTAGGAAATTACATAAACCTTTAAAAAACTATATCAATAATATCAACAAAAAAGTGTATACTTTACGAATTATCCGGAATCTAATTTTATCATCCCTTATAACTTTTCCAGCTTGTTTTCGTTGAATTATGTTATATAGATAAATTTAAAGAGTGCCGAGAAAATGACTTTAGCGAAGTTTCATTGAAATCGGTACATTCGTTTAAGCGTTACAGTCTATAGCAACGAAGGTTTTTCTGCATTTTTTTTTTTTTCTCCTTTATTAATTTATCAAATTCATTCAAAAGTTATATGTACCATTTTTTTTATGATTCTGAATAATGCGAAATGGTTAACTTTTTTAAATAAACCATATTAAAGGTACTTTAGAGGAAGACATATATGAACATTGAGCATTTAAGCTCTGTGAAGTGACATGAACGGGGATAAGAACTAATTGATATTAAAGACCACTTCATCATACAATGATACACCGAGTTTAATAAAAATCGTTAGAGCCGGTTTTGAGAAAACTGTAAAAATGTGTTTCAGCGTTGATATAAAGTGGCACTTCCGGTAAGCCGATTTTGACAAAAAGTTGTCACATCCGGCCCATATACAAACCTTAAATACTTAATATCAGTTTCGTACTACTTGTCGTTTATGAGCTTAATTGTTATATTTTTATTCATATAAATATTTTGTCAGTATAACTACTTTTTAGTTTTTTTTATTTTTATTGAATAATAATACAATCAGCCACTGTTGGAGGGCTATAAGTATTAAGGCTAGAAGTTCTCATTCATACAGTATATACAAGTAATACAGAAGTAACTATAAATATAAGAAGTAAATAAATAATACTTATAAAAAAAAGTAAATCAATAGGAAAAAAAATAAATTAATAAATAAAATTAAAAAAAAATAAATAAACAAACAAAATAAAATAACAACTTCTAAACACATTCATACCTATATACAATTTGTTTATGAGCTAGACTGTTAACACACACTCTTAATATATATTACATATATACGTAAATGAATGTAAAAATCCTATGAAGGTATGTCCGCAAACGCTTTGTTCAGGAGATATTCACACCTAAACATTTTCATTGTTATACATTATTTACGTTATATTAAGTAAATACAACTTATTTAGTTGTTCCAATTACTTTATTAATTAAACGTAAATACTTGTGATGTAAATAAATGTGATTTCCTTTAAAATTAAGATAGGCTCGGCATCTTCGACAGCAGCAGTGGCATAACGGCGATGAATATCTCCTGAATCCGATGAATATCTTCTTCCGATATTTATCATATCTCTTGCATTTTAAAATCATGTGCAATGGGTCTTCGATGGAGTTACACGTCAAACATTTATCATTTTTTTCAACTTTAATTAATGTTGAAGCCGAGATTTGTTCGACCATGGTTAATTCTTAATCTTGTAAGTAAAACTATTTCTCTTCATCTTAACTTAACACAAGTGTTACAGAACCATGGGCGTAGAGTGATATTAGGTTGAATAGTGAAATGATCATTATCTTTTGTGGAACTCAGCTCCCAGGCCTACTAATAAAGTGTTTTTTCTCCCATTTACGAATTTTCTCTAAAGACAGTTTCGACTTTTCCGCCAAATAAATAGGTTTTATATATATTTAAAAAAACGTAAATTATTGTTTCAGATATACGATAATAAAGATGAACGGATTTCTTTGTGACGTCGAAAAATTACTGTTTAAAAAAGTTATTACAGCTAAAAACTATCAGAACGATATTTTGGAACCTATTGTCAAGCCTCTAAACGATATTCTGTTTGCTGGAAGTCATTGGATCTTCCAGCAGGATTCCGCTCCAGCTCTCAAGGCCAGGTCAACTCAGCAGTGGCTGCGAAAGAACATTCCATAGTTCATCTCAGAGGCCCTCAGGAAGCCCTGATCTCCACTATATTATCGGCTTTGGTCCGAACTGGAGAGGATGGCATGCCACAGAGCACACCCTAACTTGGAGGGCCTAAAATATGATCCGAGCAGTTGAGTGCTTTCCTCAAGAAGTGCTGAGTGTTGATATTGATGACTTGAAAAGATTAATGACTTTATTTTTTATTTTAATCTCTATAGATATATATTTTATTTTCTAATAATTTTTTTTTTAATAATTTTTCTGTATATATTTCCTTATGACAAGATTAAGTATATAACGTAATTCAACGAAAATAAGCAAGAAATAAAGATACGAGAAGCGGTAACTTTAGATTTCCAAATAACTCAAGCAGTATAAACTTTTTTGCTGATATAATGACTTTTTTAAGTTTACGAAATTTCTTTTTTAAAAAATCATTGACATAGGAGAATTCGGTACAAAGGTGCGGTTTTTCTAAATATTTTCCATATGTTCTTCTAATGCAAACCTTATATCTTTTGATTTTTGATTTTTTGAAAGTTTTACATCAACTGAAGCAATGTTATCTAATTTTTTTCCAGCATATTATCAATGGAAAAAAATGTTTAGGAGAACATTAGGAATAATCACTCACTATTTAGTTTACATGGAAATTAATGTTAATTTTGGTGTTAATTTTTTGGAAATAATAGACCTCGTTTTTTGCATGACATCAAGTCTCTACTCAAGGTTTAAGTAAAAATTTATATAAAATATGGATTGTGAAAAAATAAAATAAATAAAATAGTTTTAGTACTATGAAAAAAAATTAATAAGCACTTCAATTTTGGTTGAACAGATTTTTTGGTAAGAGGATATCAAACCACTTAAGCGACATCAAGAGAATCCCCTAAAGAGGGCGTCGTGAGAGGAAATGCAATATATAAAGAGAAACGCATATGAGCGGAACAGTAGAGAGAAGAAATACACTAAACGGATAATAAATATATTTTATTTTCAGTATAAAGCTGTAACCAAGATTAAGGAAACTTTGAAAGAAAAAAAAACGACTCTTTTTTTGTTTCCTGTGACTGATTACTAATTCATATTTTAGCATGTGCATGTGCTCTTACATCTTATATCTCATGTATATAGAATAAGTATCTTTTCTTGTTATTTTTATTATCTTAAATATCTTCCTATTTATCTTTAATTGTATATAGTAATTATGTTTAAATTCTCTATTTTTCCTTGTATTTTATTTCTTTTTATTGTACATAGTATTAATTCTGTAAATAGATCTGTTAACCTTTTTTGCTGCTTTATAAAAATATCCAACCTAACTCCTTCTCACCTGAGCTAGCATGGTAGAATAAATATTTAATGATGGCCAAATAATAGGTAAGTAACTTATATTCTCTATAATTATCTCTTTAGAGATGAAAGGCTAGTAAAGCCAGGCGCCCAACAAGTAAAGATTCCGACAGAAAATTATATTCATTAAAAATTGTTTTATTATCTTTTTATTTATCCTTTTTTTATCATAAAGAATAAAGTACGATTAATCGATTAATGCTGCGTAAACCATGCTAAACCATTCATCTAACAAACCTCTTTATACAAATATCCTAATGTATAAGTTCGTGGTAGAGACCCATTTTTATCAAATTATTGAAATCCGGCTGAAACTTCGTAAATAGCTTCATCTCATCGTAACCTACAAATATTTTATTTACGTAAATTCTCGTAATTAGGGCGTTTTCAATCTGGAGGTTCACAAACATTGTCAATTTAATTTGGTACTAAAAACTCGTAAATACCTATTTACTTTTCACTTGATTCGTAAAATAATTTAATTAGAAAATCAATAAAAAAAAAGGTGGCCTACAAAAATGTTGAGCCGTTGGTCATATATAGAGAGAGACCGGATTTCCATGTTAGTGCACTTTTTATTCGCTTGGGTGTAAAAACTCCTGACCCGAACATCTATCCGATTCAGAACCTGTAGAATAACATATATTTATTTATTTTTTATTTGTTTATACATCATATTTACAACTGTATTAAAAAATTAAATACATTAAGTAAATTTGATAACAGAAAATAAAAACATGAAATGACTTGTTGAGAAACTACCCACTGGTAGCACTCTAAAAACAAAATGTATTTACAATAAGAGATCTCGAGGCCATCTTTTTTTCAGACGGCTCGGAGGGTTATCAGGAATAGAAGAGGAAGCAAGGTTAGAGACGAGAGGATTCGGATGGTTCTGAAGTTTATTATGGAAGGATTGGTATCTGGATTGGGCCAAATCGGAAACATAAGGAACATTAAGGTCATTATGGATTATTTTATTGGTGAGAAAGTAAGGAGCATTGAGGATTTTCCGAAGGATTTTGGATTGTAAGGATTGGATGCGAGAGGAATTCGATGGTTTAGTGGAGCCCCATAGCTCAACTCCATAAGTCCAAATAGGTCTTATTATAGTCAAGTATATAAGTCTTTTGTAATTTACTGGAAGCTTAGAGCGTTTGTCTAGTAAGTGTTGGAGTAGTCGGAAACGTCGAGCGGTTTCTTGTCGTTTCAGTCTTGTATGAGGATTCCAAGTTAGACGTTTGTCCAAGTGAAGTCCAAGGTATCGGATTTGTTCAACAGGGATAAGTGGGGTACTGTGGGATATTAAAGGATACTGTGGGACATGAGGTCATAGGTTTACGTCAAAGGGTAAAGGGGATTTGATGGGATTTATTAGAATTTATTTTAATCCTCCAGTTTTGACACCATTCTTCAAGGCTTGTGATGTGCGATTGAAGAGTTTGGGATGCAATGGCTGGGTCATTATTAACGGATAGGACACATGTGTCATCGGCATACGTGATAATGACAGTGTTAGGATGGGTTGGGATGTCAGCTGTATAAACTGTGTAAAGGATAGGACCTAGGATACTACCTTGAGGAACACCAGCGGACTGGGAAAAGAGGGATGAATAAGCATTATTGTGATTGACTTTTGAGTATCTATCAGTTAGATAGGAACGGATAATGAGGAAATATGTAGGATGTAGGAATTTACGGAGTTTGTAAAGTAATCCCGGGTGCCAGACTCGATCAAAAGCCAATAACATATTTGAATTTTATATTGCACGTTTTACGTTTTTAGGTTAAATTGCACGATTTTGCATTTTTGTGCTAACTCAGACGATTTATAAATACAAATGTATAAGTGAGTTGGTTAATATTTATTTTACTATATTGTTCAAATTAAATTCATCATTTAAAATAGAAAAATATGAGCAAGGAAAATAATTTTGTGTGAGGCAAAATCATATTCATAACAAAAGGAAGAAGCAAACACAAGTGAGATCTATTCTTGGAATAGGACTTGCCTAAAGTATTGGATAATAAAAAGCCGCTTTCCTAGAATTTTCCTGCTTTGTTAGTAGGGCATTTACTGTTTCTCGTTTTGGCTTGAATCCTCACTCGCATTTCAACCCTTCAGTATCACTTTTGGCTATGAATTGATTTGTAGAAATTTCATTCTTATAAAAAAAAAAAAATCTATTGCTGAAAGTAAAATCTAGTCCCCGGTCAAAAATTAAAATCTGGATATAAAAAAAACTCCGATTTGAAATGTGAGGACAAAGAATTTGATGAGAAAGTTCTATATACCTTAAGAATCGATCAGGTGATAGGAAAACACTGATAGGCGCTCATTGGGAACTAGTAAGAAGTAAATATTCTTATCAAAGAGTTTTAATTTTTTAAAATATTTTTTTAATAGTATAGAAAAATAGCTTAACACTAACTTTTAAACACCTGAAAATCTCAAACATCACAGTCTTTTTAATATTTTAACAATATTCGAAACTTCAATTCTATTAAAAAATAAAGTTTTCATTATTATTTTTAATAAAAGTTATATATATATCTAAAATTGGTCTGATCTATGTAATATACACATAGACACCTACAATTCCTGCCTTCCTTTATTCTTTCAAAACTTCAATTTCTGCATCATTTGATAATAATCGTTGTTATAATACTTGATTATAATCTGTAATATCATTTTCAATTTTTTTTTATCTCTCGGTTAACTCAAGATCTAATAAGATTTCGATGTATTAATGTTATAAATAAAACAATATTGATGACTATACACGTTTTTTTATGTTGATTACACAATTTTACGTATTTTTGAATTATACTGCACGATTTTGAACATTTTGAGATTTTTACTGCACATTTTCCGATTTATATTGCATGAAAATCCGGTCTCTAGTCCATACATAACCTCGTTATTTTGACAATTTGGGGGTGTAGGTAACGTCAAACAGTTCAATATTTTTAAAGGCCACCTTTTTTCCCAACTATGTATGGAAGTTATCTCACGATTCACGCAAATGGGTATTTACGACATTTTAATACCTAATTAAATAAACAAATTTTGGCCGACCCGACAGATTTGAAAACGCCTAAATTCCGAAAATTTTACGAATTTTCATCCGGATGTTAATAATTTGTTAAAAAGGGGTCTGTATTATGGATTAATAGTATAATTAAAAAAAATAACGAATAATAAAATGAGACATCCCATCATAATATTAAATGCTATTATATTTGCTTAAACAAAGACTGTAAACAAGATGGTTTATTTGATGGAGTGAAATTGCCAGGCTGTACCTACTACTTCTAAAAGCACTTATAAATTAATCTCTCTGCTTGTTTATTTTAAGAGACTAGAGAAGGAATTAGAATTAAGATAATTATTACTGAGTGCTTTGGAATAAAGTATTCCTCTATTTATTGTTCATGAATAATACTTATATACTAATTCAATTTTAATAACAAAAACTTTAAGCCAAATTTAGTTTACCGCCATATATATATATATATATATATATATATATATATATATATATATATATATATATATATATATATATATTTTTTTTTTTTTTTTTTTTTTTTTTTTTTGTGAGCACATTTTGAGATTTTTACCGCATGAAAATCCGGTCTCCAGTCCATATATAACCTCGTTATTTTCACAATTTGGAGGTGTAGGGTGTATCACGCCAAACGGTTCAATATTTTTGAAGGCCACCTTTTTTCCATATGTAAATAT